TCCCACACTGAGCATGTAGCAAAGTCTTGATGAAACATTACCTTGAGAAACATAAATTGCTTCTGGCACCACTAACAGCTTCCCTTTGAAAACATTCTCTCCCTTGTCTGTCAGGCAGGGGATGTCTCTGGACAATACTTAGTAAACCCTTAGTAGCTATTTGTTAATTGAACCAAACGGTCCCACTAAATCCATGGGAATCAATGTGCATTCAGTCTCCTCTTCCCTTTCCTAGTTGATTTCCTTTACTAGTGCTTTGGGGAGAGAGGTTTGTCTTCAGCTTCCTCACCAGAGCAAGCTGAATCATTAGGTACTGAAGAAAGACATTTCAAAGAAAGAGAAGGCACTACAAATCTTCTACCTGGTGATGGTTCTAAGGGCCAGAACAGTCCCAAACCTTATTGGGGGATAGATAGACCCTCCAGTGATTTCAAAGTCAGATTCATTTGTAACCCATAATCAGTGACTGTCATGATGGGGTATGTTTAGTTTATCCTTTGAGGACTTTGTGTCCTGTCCATAAACATACAGCCATCGTGATTCTTGTTTCAGATCCCCAAATGTGCTATACTTTTTAAATCAATGCATTTTCATTAGTAGGAAAAAAATCAAAGTAAATAAACAAAACTACAAGAACAAACAATATACAAAGATTCAAAAATTTAAAAGCACCAGGAGTCACACTGAGAGGAAATTTCATGTATTCAATATATGTTTATATTTCATGTTTCCAAATCATTGCAAAGAATCAAAGTCCACAACTTAGAACTATCATGAAAAATGATTGTAAGAAAACACAATTCATATTGGTTTTATTATTGGTCTTAACTCTTCCTGATTTTATGGGCACTATATTTATCAAACACGTGTTAAGTGTCTACTGGGAGGAAGATATTGGATAAGCAGCAGCAATTCTTTTGTGGTGGAATGGTGACAAATTATATGATCAGATTCCAAGTTTTCAACTTTTAATAGAAAACACTAAGCGCCATACATACAAAAGTCGGTTAAGTATTTGTTGACTTTACTGAACTTGACTGATGACAAATGGCACATGTAGCTGTTAATAGAAATCATCCCAGGAAGCAAAATGTCTTTGTTGCTGCTGAGAGAGTAAAGCAAAACAGCAATGGCTAACTTGTCTTAAAATATGTGCACGACATCTTATTTATGATACATGGTGAGCAAAATTATTAGCATCCTCATCCTCTTGAAGGGATGTCATTTACAGTCTGATTTTACTCTCCATCTTATGAGTGTGTGCCCTTATTAGTATTAGTGTTATATCTAAACTACAGGGGTGAAGACGATATAGCTTATTGCTTGGATGGTTAGCTGCAATTAATTAATGTCTTTTAATACAATTAATATCTTTCCTGACTCCTTAATTATTATCTTTTTTTTCTTCTTAGAGTATGTGAATGATGTTTGTAGTTGGCTTTGGCTTCTCACAGAAGCAGACTCTAAGACACACAATCATCTGGGAAGGGATATCAGGCCGGCACTAGCTGAGGGAAGTCAAAGTGATACAGGGAAGGGAGGACAGCCAAAGCAGGGTACCATGGTGAGCAGGTTACTGCTGAGGGCAGTTATAGCTTCCTCCCTGAAGTCATCTGGGAAATGGTGTAGAGCATGCCTTACAGTTGTCTCCACTGAGAGGGAGAGAAAGCTTGAGTTCCTCCAACTCTCATCCATCGTTGGTTGATGGCTGTTCCCAGGAACACAAACTTTTCTGCAATTACACTCTGTCCTGCTCAGCCAGGAAAAGCCCTCAGGCAGAGAATCACAGGAGCTTGCAGCAGAACATCCCAGCATGTAGAGCAGCTGTCCCCAACCTTATTGGCACCAGGGACTGGTTTCATGGAAGACAGTTTTTCCGTGGACTGGTGAGGGGTTGCTTCAGGAGGTAATGCGAGCAATGGGGAGCAATGGGGGAGCGGCAGATGAAGTTTCGCTCGCTCACCCGCCGTTCAACTCCTGCTGTGAGGCCCGGTTCCTAACAGGCTGCAGACCGGCACCGGTCCACGGCCCGGGGGTTGGGGACCCCTGATGTAGAGGAATCATGATTGTCAAGGGGCTATGGACAAAGAACTGGCAGCAGATGCTACATTGGTCTTCTATGGATGTATACTACTGTAAATGTTATTAATATAATTATACTATCAAAGTTTTTACTTGGAATCATCATCTATTATAATAAAAATAATGCACATATGTTTTGCACGTAACTCAGAAGTTCTCTCCTCTCCAGGAACTTTCCTGCCACTAGACCTAAAAACCTACTTCCATTTATTTCAACATTCTGTCTTCTCGCCCCGATATAATTAAGGATATTCCCTCCTCCTTCTTCCCTCCATGTATATAATGTCAACCTCTTTTAATGAATGCACTACCTGCTTACTCAGGAATATTCCTCTTTCACTGATCTTGTCTCCTGAATATTCAGCGGCTCCCTTAGTCCCTTCCATCTGCATTGCCATATCCTTAATTATCTTCCACCCTAAACAAGCAAACAAAAACTGTCTCTTTTCCCCCACCTTCCCTTGTTGCTGGAGTCCTGTTTCCCTTCACAGTCGAACTTCTCAAAGGTTGTTTAAAATCACTCTAGGCTCTTCCTCTTCTCTCACCTCCCTCACTTCAAGCTGGCCTCTGCACACATTCCTTTACTAATGGCTCCCAGGTCTCTAAATTCAGTAAGTATTCCAGACTTCAGATTACTGGATCTCTCAGCAGCAGTGACTGTACGCAACTCACTTCTTCGCAGGGGTGTAAGCTGCCTTTGTAACACTATAATCTCTAGCTTTAGGGACACTTTATTTTCCTCTACTTTTTCTGAACATGCATAGCAGGAGAATATTCCTTGAAATGCATACATTCTTTAACTGTGTTTATGAAGTCCATAAACTTTGAAATTATTTTCTTTAAGGTAACTTTGCCTATCTCTGTTCTGTCTTGAGGTGTTGCTCTTACTGTTTAGAGCTTTGAGGGTAATTTTATTTTTCTCTCTTTAGATTCTTAGTTGGCACCTCATTGCAGCCACTAGGATGATCATATTCTCCTTTACGCTTTACTTGCCATTTGGTGTGTAAGTGGATATTCTTCATGTCCTTAGCATGAATATATTCATGTATTTTTATCAACTCTCTTTTCTAACTTTACAACTCCAGATTAAGGAGAATAAATTCCATTTGCCTCTATTTGGGTGAAGACTACCATAACATTTTAATTTCTCTCTCTTGGAACATTTTAAACCAATATCTATAGTGACTAACGTTTTATTCAGTTGTTTATTGAATAAATGTGAGAGCACGATTGATTTTGTATGAGTAAGAGGAAAAAGACATATATAATTCAGGACCAGCTACATAATTTGTGAGGCCCAGTCCAGGATGAAAATGCATGGCCCTTTATGCAAAACATAATGAAGAATTTCAAGGAAGGAAAAACAGAACATTAGACAAGGCATGGGACTTTTCTGAGCACAGGGACCTATGTGACTGCACAAATTGTATAGCTATGAAGTAGACCCTGTGCAGGTGTTTGGGGGCAGGTGGCAGCTGAGAATTAACTTTAGAAATGAGTTTCAAATGAGTTTTACAACAAAATTTCACAAATACCATTTTTTTTGGAATAAAATAGTATATAAAATAACAATGTTGAAGGAATATATTTATTTGGAACACCATAAGTGTGCTTTTGGCACAGAGTATTGTGGTAAATAGAAATATGTAGTTGATAAGAAAACACTTTTAGTTTTAAATTTATTCTTGACTGTGGTACAGTGCTTTGTTTACCCTGAGGGCTCAGGAGCCAGAGTGCTTGGTTCCTAAAACCTGGCTCTATCCACCCAACAGAGTGTGGGTCATGGGGCACATTTCCTTAACTTCCCATACATCAGTGTACACATATATTGGGATGATAACAGAGAATCTATCTCATAGATTTCTCATGTAGATTATTACATTTCAAGTCCTTTTAAGAGTAAGCATTCAGTCTACTCTGTTATTTCAAAACCCTTTTACTTTTTTTTTTGCTTTAGTGGATACAATATTCCAGACTCAGTTTACTGTCTCTTTCATGGTTGTGAATTAATGTTCAGTATAATATTAAAATATTTCATGATATTGTTTGTGTAGAATTACACACTTGACACTTAGCAGTTAAGGCATTAAGTTCATGATGGTAGAAATTAATGATGTACTTTTTTCTTATAAGAATACTGAAGGGGTTTTAGTTCTAAATTTTTCCTTTGAGCTTTCCCCCCATTGCCATTTGGCTTATTTAAAATCAAAGATCTAAATCATCTGGTTAATAAAGCAATCCAGTTAATTGTGCTACACTTTATAAGTTACATAAATTTCCAATCTAATTCAATTTAATCTTTGCGGTTTAGGCATTCTTAGATACATGTAAAGGCAAGCTTGTTTGGAAGTAATCCTTGTGATTAATGAATGTTATTTGCTTTTATTTTTATGTTACTGAATGATAAAGCTTTTTATAAAATATGAATTATGTTTATTTATAATGATTAACAATGTGTTTGTGCTTTATTGAGAAGATACACTAATTTACAAACTAAATCTCTACCAGCATGAAATACCATTTGAAATATTTCGTTTAATGGTCAATTACAGGACTGTATCAAACAGTAACCATACCAACTGTACTTTATTTTCCATACTGGTGGTACATTTAAGATAGTTTCTGAGAAACTATTCATTCTGAGCAGTGTGCTGAAAACAAAATGCTCTAGTCAGGTATAGTTTCCAAATAAGAATGTCATAATCCTTCTAAGCATTTAGCATTTAGGATTGTAAGACCCTATGAAGTAATTAAGTAATACAGCTATTTTTGTTGGTTGTGAACATTGAAAAGAAAGCAAAAACGAAATATTCCCAAATATCACAGAACTTTCTAACCATGCCATGTACTTGACCCCTTCTCTCTCCTGTGGTTCTCATTATATAATGTCTATATTCAATCTCTTTTTCTTACACCAGACAGTATTACTGAAGTCTTCACTAACATCTATGTGACCAGTTTTGGCCCCGTCTCAGATACAGATATGGTGAGTTTTTCATTAAACAGTATTTTTACTTCATATAATGGGAAGTTTGGGGGGTAATTTAGAATAAACACGTATTTTTAGTGTCATAGATTCTGGATCTGTCTCATGCCTATTTAGTCTGCCCAAATACATGGAGAGTTAAAGCTGTTAATCTGCTTATATCTGTGTGCACCATTCTAACTTGAGTGTTCAGATTAACCCTTCATATTTTATATTATCTTCAAAATTTTCTACCCAGCTGCAGTGTGGCAAACAATTGTTTAAATAAAAATAATGATATTACTGAGAACCCGGTACGCGGGCCTCTCACCGTTGTGGCTTCTCCTGGTGCGGAGGCTCCGGATGCGCAGGTTCAGTGGCCATGGCTCATGGGCCCAGCCGCTCCGCGGCATGTGGGATCTTCCTGGACCGGGGCACGAACCCGTGTCCCCTGCATTGCCTGGCAGACTCTCAACCACTGTGCCACCAGGGAAACCCAAACCACTCTGTTCAATTAAGGCCCCTACTTGACTTCCATACGTCTGGGGCAGTTTCATAGATAACTGCTTCTTACAGGTTGTGGTTAGGGTCGGTGTTACAAATGGAAACCTTCTATTAACATTGAGTAAGGTGGATTTCTTGTCATCCTAGCTACATAAATACACTACATATACTCATACATATAAATTAATCTAGAGAAAACTAGAATCTTAACATTCTTGAATTCTATGGAACTGGTCTTTATTTTTCTTTAAAATGACATCAGTAGAAGAGGGAAATTAGTCTGTTGGACTAGACATCAGTGGACTAGATACATCATCGATAAATCCTTGGTTAAGCATAAGAATTTTAGTAATCCATCTTCCACTTCTACTGCTATCTACAGTGCTCTATTATAGAAGATTTTTTGTAAAAATTATTTTTCATCCACCTTCCTTATGGTCAGGGAATGAGAATTAGAGGAGATGCCCTTGTCCCTGCTTTGCCTGGCCTTTCTCCATCATGTCATCTCTTCCCAATTTCTTCCCTTTATCTGATACCCCAAGGGGAAGGATAAGTGTGCAGGTTTTCCACCTGGATAAACACACAAAACTAAAGGTTTTCCTTTTTTGCAGATGCTCATTAACAATATTAGCCAATTATTTTTTATTGAAGTATAGTTGATTTATAATATTGTATTAGTTTCAAGTGTACAGCATAGTGATTCAGTTATTTTGTTTTCAGATTATTTTCCATTATAGGTTATTACAAGATATTGAATACTGTTCCCTGTACTATACAGTAAATCTTTATAGCTTATCTATTTTATGTATAGTAGTTTGTATCTGTTAATCCCATATTCCTAATTTACCTCTCCTCCCCTGCCCTCCCCCAGCCACCTTTGGTGACCTTAAGTTTGTTTTCTATGTCTGTGAGTCTATATCTGTTTTGTATATAGATTCATTTGTATTATTTTTTAGATTCCATATGTAAGTAATATCATACATTATTTGTTTTTCTCTGTCTCAGTTACTTCACTAAGTATAAAATTCTCTAGGTCCATCCATGTTGCTGTAAATGGCAATATTTCATTCTTTTTCACAGCTGAGTAATATTCCATTGTATACTTATATACCACATCTTCTTAAGCCAATTTTCTATTGACAGGCACTTGAGTTGTTTCCATGTCTTGGCTATTCTAAACATGCACTGGTGTGCATGTGTCTTTTAAAATTAGAGTTTTTGTTTTTTTCCAGTTATACACCCAGGAATGGGATGGCTGTATCATATGGCAACTCTATTTTTAGTTTTTTGAAGAACCTCCACGCTGTTTTCATTAGTGGCTGTACCAATTTACATTCCCATAATTATCCATTTTATTGGGACCTCCCTACCTTTCCTTTAGGGAGCAGATATGCTGGTTTTATCACTAAAAAATCAGTTTTTCTTCCACCCAGAGCCATTTCTCTGACCTCATAGTTCTTTTTTACATTAACTTGGATGGCTGAAGATGTAAAGTGGAAGAGGGGTGATGACCCCCAATTTTGGGGAGGTGGTTGATACCAAACACTGCTGATCTTTGAAGTTCTTTCAAATTAGAATGTGATGATTTAAGTGCTTTTGTTCCCCAACTTCAGGCATTAGCTATAATTCTGCAACAACAGGAAAAATCCCACTTTTCAACATAACTCTCCTCCTCCCTTGCAGCATCCTATATCATGACGTGAAATATTAATCCTCCTCTTTCCATAGGTTAATTTCAGTGTACACAAACTTGAAAAGATCACAGATACATATTTTTAGTAAGAGTGTGTATCCCAAACATTATTGGTTGGCAGTAAAGATAATATTTCTGTGAAGCTTGTCTTAATAAATGCTCTCTATCTTAGAGACCGTGAGAATGAGCACCTAACCTCTATGTGGAGTCAAGTGCAGAGAGTCAGAATTTTGTCAAGCACTACATTGAAAAATTAGCAGAATATTATATAAATTATGGTTCTTATATGGTTAGCTATGGTGTTTTATCACCAGCCAAAACAGAAAGGCAAATGATATAGGACCCCAAAATATCAAAGTTTTCAATGTTTTAGATTTTGTGTAGTGAATATTAATACTAAGAGTTACTATGCTAAAGTTTTTTTGTTTGTTCATTTTGCAGAGTGAGTTCTTTTACCTGAAAAAATCAGAAGTAAACAAATCTTCATATATGCTTTTTCTAGACATGCAATTGTTTGTTATTTGAGGGTTTTAGACAAACAGTTATATTTTTGGCAAAATATATGAAGAGATTTTTTTCCACTGGTGATAATGGATTAAACTAATCCTCCTCTTCTTTGTTCTGACCATTCTTTGGGATCACTGAAAAATTTAGAAAGCTGGTAGCTTCAACTCAAAATGGATTAAAGACTTGAATGTAACCCTTGAAACCATAAAACTCATAGAAGAAAATATAGGGAGTAAGCTCTTTGACATTGGTCTTGGCGATGATTTTTTAAAATTTGACACCAAAAGCAAAAATAAACCAGTAGGACTGACTATATCAAACTGAAAGCTTCTGCACAGCAAAAAACCATCAATAAAATGAAAAGGCAATCTACAGAATGGGAAAAAAATATTTGCAAACTATGTATCTGATAAGGGGATAGCAACCAAAATATATAAAGAACTGGTACAACTCAATATTAAAAACAAAAACCACAATCCAATTTAAATAAGGAATAAAAACTGAATAGACATTTCTTGAAAGAAAACATACAAATGACCAAGAGGTACATGAAAATATACTCAACATCAATAATCATAACAGAAAAGTAAATCAAAATCACAATGAGATCTCTCCTCACACCTGTTAGAATGGCTATCAACAAAAAGACAAGATATTCTATATGATATCACTTATCCACTTATATATGAAATCTAGAAAATAAAATAAACTAGTGAATATAACAAAAAAGAAACAGACTCAGAGATAGAGCAAACAAACTAGTGGTTACTGGTGGGGAGAGGGAAGGGAGGAGGGGCAAGATAGGGGTACAAGATTAGGAAGTACAAACTACTATGTGTAAAATAAATAAACTACAAGGATATATTGTAGAGCGCATCACAGGGATTATAGCCAATATTTTATAATAACTATAAATGGAGTATACCTTTAAAACTGTGAATCAGTATGTTGTATACCTGAAACATATAATATTGTACATCAACTATACCTCAATAAAAATAGTTTTAAAAAAAGGCAAGAGATAAATGTTGTCAATGATGTGGAGAAAAGGGGACCTTTGTGCAGTTAGCAGCCATGTAAATTGGTATAATCAGTATAGAAAACAGTATGGAGGTTTCTCAAAAAATTAAGAATAGAACTATCATTCATATTATTCAGTAATCCACTTCTGGTATGTATATTCAAAGTGAAAATAGGATCCCCAAGAGAAATCTGCACGACTGGTTTTTTTTTTTTTTTGGCTGTGCTGCATAACTTGTGGGATCTTTAGTTCCCCCACACAAGAGATTGAACCTGGACCCCCGAAGTGAAAGCACCGAGTCCTAACCACTGGACCGCCAGGGAATTCCCTGCACTCCTTTTTTTATTCATCATTTTCCACAATGCCAAGATATGGAAATATGATGTGATATACGTATCACATGAGAAAGAGTGAAATCCCGGCATTTTTGACAACATGGATGGACCTCAAGGGTATTATGTTAAGTGAATAAACCAGACAAATATTGCATTGTATCACTGACATGTGGAATAAAAAAGTCATAAAGAGAGATGTTAGATAAGTGGTTGCCAGCTGCTGAAGGGTGGGGAAAATAGGGAAAGGTCGGTGAAAGGGTATAAACTTTCAGCTACAAGATGAATAAGGTCTAAGGATCTAATGTAAGGCATGGTGACTATAGTTGATAACCCTGTATTGTATAATTGAAATTCACTAAGAGAGTAGAACTTAAATGTTCTTGCCAAAAACAAACAAATAATAAATAAATAGATATGAGGCGATGGATATGTTAATTAACTAGACAGAGGGAATCCTTTCACTATGTATGTCAAATCACCACTATGATTGCTTCAAATACCTTAAATTTTTTTCGTCAATTATACTTCAATAAGGCTGAATTTTTTTTTTAAGAAAAAGGAAAATAAAAAGAAACTGTGATCGTTTAGTTAGTGTTTCCATGTAGGAATTTCTTCCAGGCATTTGATGGGAAATTTATATATTTTTACAAATCCTAAATTCTGGGAAAAATCAAATAAGAAAATGGGAAAAAGCATTATAATTCTCCTGCAAGAATTAAAGCTTAGCATAAGGAATCCACGGATGTCAAGTTGCAGCCCAGAGCAGGGAATGCTGATGTGTGAAGCTGAACACTCAAGGTTAAGGACAACAAGTCCCAGAACTGGGACAGGACCGTGTCTGTGTGAAGCAGTCACGATCAGGCAATAACGTGTCTAGCAGTTGTGTGTCCTGTCTGCTGCTGTCATTTTGAAATAAATTTGAAATAAATATTAATAAGTTATATGCAAAAATAAATATATA